AAGACTGCTCTGCAGCAACACTCTGCTGGATCTAACGCTCCCCAAAGCCCGCTCTGATTTCAGAAATTGCCTTGCCCTCCGCTTTCCTCTTTAAATCCGATCCACCTAATGACTGAGCTTCCAATTATGTGGCTGTCAATCTGCAAATCAAAGCCAGTTCATAATATCTCCCCCAGGAAGAACGCCGCGTCACTCACCGAAATCGCTGCTGCAAATCTCGGCCCACAGTCCCAGGCAGCAGAAAAACAAAATAAACTAGAAGACGGTCGACAGTGGGAATCGTTTTGCACAGGGTTGGAGTTAAATTCCCTACGTGTTGACCCTTGATGCCAAAAAGTCATTATTTTTCTGGAATAAACTGTACAGCTTATTAGATGATGGGAAAAAAGAAATCAAGCTCAGGCAATTGATAGTCCAAAAAGATGCTGCGTTTCCTTGCCCAACAAAATAAACAGGTAATATTCATCTGCTCTCTTCTACCTGCAAATGCTCTCTGGTTTGTAGGTGATCATCTCTAGAGGACCCTTCTAACCCCAACCATTCTGCGACTGTGCTTGTGGGGTGGTTCATTTCCAGTTCTGTGTTGCTGCTCGTCACTGGGACTGCACTACAGCCCCATTGCTCTTCTCCCAAACGCAGAGTTTCACACTGGCTGCTGCCTCCCGAAAGCTGCTTTCTCCAAAGCCAGGACAACACGGCCACCTGAAGACAACCTGAAACGCCACCGACCCTCCCCAAAGCTCACGCAGCCATCCCCGCCGAGCTAACAGAGCAGATAGGGTTTCAGCACGGAAATCACAGCTTAATTATATTGTGGGGCGGGTGGGAGGAATTTGATGGGAGATTTCATTTAGGAAACAATCAGGTCTCCGTTGGGTTAGAAATCAGGATATTAATGTTCTTCATTTTAATTTTCCTCTCTGACTCAGATTCCCACTGTTTGAATTTGAGCTCAATTTGTTCTGTTCATTATGAAGAAATCCACATGAATTTGACATTAAACTGATTATCTCTGAGAACAGTAGCAATAATTTCCTTTTTTTTTTTTTTTTTTTTTCCTCCTGTGTATGTTTCAGATTAGGTCTTTGTGGCTGACATAAAGATGCAGAGGAGAAATAATGAAGCGAGGGGAAATCAAGTAATTTTTTTCTGAAGTGCAACTGAGAAGCAGGGACACACAATGACTTCCCTGTGTTTGGAAATGAGAGTAAGGGGCAGTCCCAAAGGATATCTGTGTTGACTCTTCCCCTTTCACTGTGCTGTCATGGGAACAAATGGAGCCAACACAGCTCTCCCAGATGGAAAACTACCTGGAATGTTAATCCTGGGCTTCATCAGGATTAATCTGGGGTTTCTGGCACTTGTGTTCACCCCACACCTGTGGTTTGCTAGTGAGTGCACACGCATGAACATCCTCATCAACAACCTACAAGGAAAAGAGCACCCAACCCATGGCAGCCTTTTAAGCCCAGCCTGGGGCACTCAGTCCTTGCCTGGGTGTTTTGTTGGAGATTTGTCCCTCTCTCAGATGGGCTTGAGCTGCAGCCTGGTCTCCAGCTCTGGGTCTGAACCTGTTATTTCCCCAAAGAGAACAATACAGCCAAGACGTGGTAAACATTTGCCACCCATTAATATATATATTTCCCCTTATTTGTTAAGTTGCATGGATACGCATAGCTCCATCCATGAATTTTCCTATAGCAAAACTGTATTTGATACTGGTGACAATGCCCATTTTCCCTCCGCTGCTTACTGGCCTCATGAAGACACAGGACACTTGCTTCTTCCACCTTTTCTTTGCAAAACCACTCAAATCCCCCAAGCTGAAAGGCTGAGCATGGCCAGAGCTCAGGGGGCAGCTGCTGGGGTCTACTGGAGCGTGCTGGGGTAGCTCACACTGAGACTTCATCAATGGTTGCTCTTGGCAATCTGCTCTTGAACGCAGTGTTGAGGGACAGCACAATATCTTTGTCTTTATAGGGCTCCACCATTATTTTTGCAAGGATTTTTGCAAGTGGTGACACTTTGAGCCAGGCCTAGCCCCTGACTTCTTCTTGTGTGGAGATGGGACTCACAAGCTGAAGGGCCTTTGAGACCAGGGCCTCAAAGGCAGCAGGTGAAGCACARGTTTTCAATGCTGGGAGAAGAAATACGGAGCACAAGGCAGATGTGAAAGAGGTAACAGAAAACCCAGCCAAACCTACTGAAACAAAAACAGGGGCACATTGGTGGAGCTGGGGTGGTAGGAGGGGGAAGTTACTGACACCTRGAAGAGCAAATGTCCATGGTGGTAGACATGTGTACTCTTCATGGGAGGGTAGATGAGAAAATACTTGTCCTGCTCCTGTTCCCTTCCTCTCAATTTACATACTGGAACTAAGAGGGGATGAGCAAGGRGAAATGAGGGCAGAAACATTTGGGGCTTCAGGAAATACCTAAAATGGCCATGCAGATCTTGGGAGGTGAGCTCCCAGCTCCAGCAGTGATAAGCCAGACTGATGCCCTGGAGGCTCAAGGAAGATGGGCATGAGATGGYGCAGCAGATGGATAACTGCTGCTGCTGGTAATACAGGAACGTGGGAAACAAAGCTGGATTTGCCTGCCACATTAGCAAGCAGGAGGGGACTGCAAGAACTGTGAGGGGAATGGGGGGTAAAAGATGGTTCTTCGTTCAAGAAATGAAGGAGAAGCCCTAACTGAGGACATCTCACTTCCTTCTGCTTCCACAACAGAAAGGTGGTGATTCAGGCAGGCATGGAGAGGCAGTGCTGAGCCAGGAGTGGGAAGCTGGGAGATACAGGGAGAGGACATCACCTCCCTGCTGTTTCTGAACGGTRACTGCTGCCTGAAGGCTTGGGGAAAATATCCACGCACAAAGCAATGTTCAGCACGAGGACTTTTGCATRAGAGGCGCCTAGCATTTAGCTGAAGTGTTGCCAGAGTGGAAGTTATTTCCTTAACCACCGGATTGATGTGTTAGTCGATAAGTGTCCCTGGTAAGCAAGCAACCATTAACCAATTTACAAGGAGGCTGGGAGGGCGGAACAGGGCCTTCTGAAAGGGGTATGAGAGCCTCTCGTGTCAGTCTCGGGCAGGGAAAGATGCTAAACATACGATCCTGGGCTTGCAGTTCACTCCTCTGAGCTTTTGTTGCACATCTGTAAATAAAACATTAATGAAAAGGCTCCTTTAAAGTTTCATATATAGTAAAATATTAAGGGGAAGACAGGAACYGTGAAAATTGCATTGCCCTCCTGGTCTATTCAGACAGGGACTATCCCTGGAGAGACTGAAGAAGGGTTGAAGCAGCAACCTAGGCTTTATGCAAAGCCCTAAGACCATGACTGTTACCTTTCAAATGGCATAAACAGGATAAAGTGTSAAATATCTGGAGCCCTGTGCAACTGGATCCCTGCTGGTGCCCCCTGTGTTTTCCCAGGCTGAGTGACCACCCGATGCTTTGGAGCCGCTAACTCCCATGGAAAACCCTGAGCCTCCATTTTCCAGATACTCCCGTGCACTGGAAAAGCAAATAACAAATATGGTCCCTGCCAGCACGAAAGGGGTGGAAAGGGGTAGTTCCAGTTATTCAAGCCACCAAAGTGTCCTGGGGCAGCCTTTCTTCCATCGACAAGCCCAGAWGACGCTGTTTGCTAAAGCCCTTTGCACCTCTCCAGTTTCAAGGCCAAGATGGAGAAAACTGCAGGAGCAACGTGCATGGGTAAATCAATCTGTGCTGAGGCCTCTGCAGTCGGTGACATCCCACAGCCTGCTTCATCAGCGAACCCTCGGGGCAAAATAACGAGATTATCAATCCACGAAAGCCCCCGGAGCAGGTTGTGGGACAACCTCCTGCTGAACCACCAGGCTTTCCCCTTTGCGTTGATTTGAGCGATAGGGATACCTGCTTGGAGACCTGAATCCAACGTCCTTAATTCCCCAGTACTCGGTATTACTAACCACAGGTTCCAAGTCCTTCCAGGCTACCCTTAGACTGTTAGGCAGGTGAAAGACCCTATAAAGTCGGCGTGAAATCCACCTCAGGAAAGGCTGGGTAGGAAGAGAAGTCCCAACTTGCTTCTCGGTTGAGTTTTAAAATTAAAGACCAAAAAGTCTTGGATTTCCCCCAAGGTTGAGGGAAGAGCTGGGCACRCTAATCCATACCCATCCTCTCTTGATGCCAGCAGAGTGGGGAGACACAGAAAGCAGGACTTTTCACCTCGTTCCTCAAGACAAGCCACAAAGTACTTGTACCGGAGGCGAAAGAAAGCAGCCCTCAAGCCTAAAATTACTTTTTCCTCGACTTCCCTTACAGACACTTTCCCACAAACCACTTAAGGGWTTTTTTTTTYYTTTTTTTCCCTAAGCAGTCCAGCTTTCATCCCGCGCCAGGAGCTGCATTTTCCTTGGCACAGCTCTCTATCTGCACACTTCTCATGCCGCCTCTCGAGTTCGCATCAGCCGGGCGCTCCAACCAGGCACCAACATGAGCAGAGCCACTTTAATCCCGAGCACGCAGCCTTTCCTGAGCCTGCCTTCGGATGTCCACTCCTTGCTATACACCCCGGACAATGCAGAGGTCTAGGGGGCTAAATAGAGCACCCAAAGAGCCCGTTTTCGCTGGCAGCAGCGAGGTCTGAGACCGCGCGAGCTCGCCGCACTAGCGCTTTGCCGTGGGAAGGTGGAGGTTTCTTTCCATCTCTTTTTCTAGGGAAAAGGGAGGGTGGAAAAAGGGGTCTCCTAACTTCCTTCCGGGGCATGACAGTTCTGGAAAATGCATGTGTAAAAAAAATAAAGAAAAGAAAAAAAGGAAACGACCGCCACCAAACCTCCTCCGGGCGAACACCGTAACGTTTTGCAAGTGAGAGAATAAAAGTCCAGTGCAATTCGCAGTGGGGACGGGGAGGGACAGGGGCAAGGGGGCCAACACATTTTAAAAATCCGTAAAGTCATTACGAGAGTTAGAAATAGGAAAAAAAAAATACATAGTTTATAATTACCTCTGTTGAGTGAAGCTGAACTGTTTATGTCTCCGGTAATAAAGGAAGACTCGGACTGCTTCCGAACTGTGTCATTCCACATCCTACGAATCCGGCTCTGAGGAGGGATTGAACCACAGCAGGTAATGAATTTTCAGCGGCGGCAGAGGGGTTTCTTTCTGCCTCTCTAAGGACAGATACTGGCACGGCTAGCTCACCCCGAGACTTGTTTCTGCCCTCCCACTAGTTGCTCTTTCGTTATAATCCCAGCCTACCATGAGTTAGGAGGTGCATAATTCGTTTGCTTGGATTGCTTATATCTTAATTAGAATTAAAAAAAAAAAAAAAAAAAAAAAAAAAAAAAAAAAAAAAAAAAAGCAGTTGACATTATATATGGGAAAACTCATGCAAGCCACAGATTCATCAATATGCTGTCAAATAATAGAAAAATAAACTATGGGAAGAAGCATGCAGGCTTCTCCCCAGCTAGCAGGCACCCGTTTTTGTCAAGTAGAACAGAAGAGCTGATCTGTGTCTTCGTGTCCCTGGATGAACGGGAGTTTTCTATAGCTGCTATCCATCTCGGAGAAAGCTCAGTAAAAAAATCATACAYAGAAGTGCAAATAAATGACTTCTATTTCCCTCGTGGAAAACCTGTGAGGATTTTGCCATGTGTGTGTGCTGCAAGGGAAGCGCGGTGCCGATGGTGTTGGCCTTCTCTTTTCTTTTCTCAGGGTGCTGCAAAGTAATTTATCTCTGCAGCTTTTGCAYCACTTTCTACCTCCTCCTTATCTGCAAGCCTGGCAGCTGAACCCACCTTGTGAGGAGATCATCTGCATTCCCTGTGGGGACACGTGTGGGAACCTCCAATCCTGGGAAACCTCCCATCTTGGGGAACCCCAAGTCCTCCTGCTCTACTCATGAATGTCCCTCTCACTCATCAGCCCTTTATAAGATGAACCATGGCGCAACTTGCGACCCATGCGCTTGTACAGCAAATGGTCTGCAGCTGGGCATTTCAACCATCCCATTTGTCTGACCAAGCGTGGTGGATCCAGGGATCAGACACCACGAGGCAATTCCCTACACGTTTATCAGGAGAAAAAAAAAAAAAAGAAAAAAAAGAGTTTTTGTTGAATTTCCTTCTGCTTGGGCTTTGCTATTAAAATGTTTGGGGTCAGATGCTCTCACCACCTTGGGTCTCCACCCGTTCTCCATCTCACAGGAGGCTTCTCCTGGAAGGTCCCATCCAAGGACAACATGATCTGCCTTAGTACCTGAAAAACTCCRCCAGACATGACTGGCCTGTTGCTGGGAGAGTCATCTCACCCTCAGAAGGGCTTCTTATCTAAAGTTGAGGATGCTGAGAGGAAGGACCTGTTAAAGTCACCTCTTCTTGGCAAGGAAGGCACCTACCTGCAAGCCGAGAAGCTCAAATCCAACAGATTTCAAACCAGCCACACAAATGTTGCTGGATATAGTGAATTTGGTACAGATGGGAATTGAGGATTGATGTGGCATTTGATGGTCTCCTGGCTAGAAGCTCCCTGTTCTATAGCTATTTGCCCTGTAATATCTAGACCTCAGTAAACGCCAAAATAGAGCTCTTGGATGACATGCTGGAAACTGCAGAAAATAAATAACCATTTGCTCCGAGACATAAATCGCAAATTATGTTTTCCTGGGAGGTTATAAACTGTTACTCGCTATGTGTCTTTCATAATTTAATAGTTGAACTGTCAACTATAATTACTTCCATTAGCGATACTGAATAAATTTGTGTTTGGTTTCTATTGATTAAGTGGTAAGCTTCTTCATTTTGTATGAACTGCACTTCTATAAATCTGTACCGGTGCATAAAAGTCAGCTTGAAAACTGCAAAGTCCACAAACTAAACAAAAAATTGAATTTCGAGATGACCAAATCATAACAAATCCAGTGACTTCCTAAGCTAATCTGACCCTCCCTGGATGCTCTCTTAAGAGATACATAAACTGAGGAAAATCGGGTGAAGAAAGGCATTGATCAAACCAGTGGATGCCAGAAAGCGAGTCCTTTTTTGGCAGAAGTGACTACACGACTGCAGCCTTTTTGAGCAAGAAAAACACTTGGTTGTGCCGGTATCATTACTGTACACGGCAAGAGAGGTGACAACAACCTTCAGCGCATGCCAAGGACAYGCTGGGCTGCTTTTGCAAGGCGTAACAGAGCTGGGAAAATGCTCCCAGTTCCCGCTCCTCCTGGAGACCGCTCAGGTCACGGGTGCCCTCCTGCCTTGCGAAGGCACAATTTGGGCTTTCTAGCCTCGCCACAGTTAAATATGAGGTTCTTGGAGGGACAACCGAAGGAGGTGACCACCCAGTGGAATGAACCATGGATGACTTCAGGATGAGGACGGTGAGAAGTCCTTGTGGTGGCCCTGGTGAGAGCACTAGAGCAGAGCACTAGAGCAGCTCCTTTGGCTCCTGCAGGCCTCATTGTCCCCTTGAGGCCACCAAAAGCTGCCACCACCCCATGACCTAATTCCAGACTAAGTTTCAGCTCAACTACTGGCTTAAAGAGGGAGCAGAGAGTGCAAGTTTGCCCAGCCCCAGTGACCACGTTGCCATCAAGGGGCTTGGTGGAGCCCTTGCTTCCCGGCGAAGAAACGCAAGTTACCTGTGAGCCCGTGGAGTATCTTCCAGGCGTCCGCGAGCCCGAGGTTTTTCCTGAGCCGATGGAGCTCTCTGTACTTTTCCCGCTACAACAGTGCGTGCGCAGGCACTTCCCGTACTCCTTACGGACCTGAGCCAATGAAACGGGAATGGCTGTGAGCTGGCAGGTCCTCCTTGAAGAGTCACATTGCACACRGGCATTGCCATCAAGTTAGGCCAGCTCCTCACGTGCTTGAAAGCTCTGCCACCACTCTGGTGTCACGGGAACCCTTGGTGCCTTAGTGTCCTTGGCACTAAGCTTTGGCCAAGTTTGAGTTTGAAGCTTTGGCTAAGTTTGAGGCCCGGTCGTGTCAGATTTTGGACATTAACACCTGCGTGCACACCCCAAACCCTCACAGAGGTTGCTCGGAGCACGCAGGGCTCAGTTAGCTGGGAAATCTCCCTCGCCCGCCTGCRAGCAATTCAAAACTCGCCGCTTAAATAGCAAATTACAGCTTTTTCATTAGGCTTCTCCTTAAGCACTTGAGACAACCACAATACCACGAGTGCCCAATATGCTCGAATGCCTAATCAATCCTTTGCTGAGAGAAAATAATTCAATTGCTTTAATTAGCCACCCACTGCTTCCTCTCCACAGCTTTTTGCTGATTTTCCAGTCCATGATAGATAGGAAGGAAACGGACTTTTTTTTTCTTCTTCTTCAAATAATTCCTCCCTCAGCTCTAGGGTCAGAAGATATGTCCACCCCCATGGGCAGGTATTGGCCTCTCGTCGCCTTTCCTCTACACTCCTATCCATCAGGAGCAATTTTGGAGTAAACAGCCATGGATGAAGGGTAAAAAACAGCTCGAGGCAAACACGAGCATGGTCCTGCCATGCAAAATGAGCCCCCTGAGAGCTGGCAAGGATGCGGTGCCACTCTGGCCTGGTGTGCAAGGAGCTGGGGGCGGCACATGTGAAACTCCACCAGCCCACGGAATGTTTCACCTGGATGCCCAATAGATATTCTGGGGGATGGTAAGCTAAAACTAAAGCTTTTTGGTCTATCAGGATGAACGAATTTAAGACCAGATGAGCAGGAGCAAAGCTCTGACTCCAGAAAACCTTTCTTCAGCCTCAAGGGTGTCTCGCTGTAATACATTTTATTTATGTCCTTTTAGGCCAGATATCATTTTCCAGTTGAGCCCACAGGAAAATTTCCACTCATGTGAATAATACTGAAAAAAAAAAGGGGGCTTTTTGATGGAGAACAGACCTGAGCGAGCCCTTAACTTCTCCCAGCAGGCCCTCTCACCAAAAAACACTGGTCACACCGAGACTGGGACCCAGTTGTCCATGTGTAAGCTCTTCCCTCTGTTTGTCTCACATAAGGAAAGTGGACCAAGATGAACACTAAAGGCCAAGCGTGGACATGCACGGAGCTGAAGAGTGCTGCACCACTGGCCTTCAGTGCAGAATAAAATGGTCCTTACAAATGTTTATTACTGATTGTCAGGAACTGTAAGCTTGATCCACAAAGACACACAGTTTATGTTCCCTTTTTTAATCAGTCTCCCCAAGTTACTCTGCTGTTACCTTGCACATATTCATTGTGTCACGCTTCGTGTTGCACTGCAAAACACTTTTTTTTTTTTTTGTGCTCGTTTTTAAGGAAGGTTTCCAGAGGCACAAATTAGGATTAAAGGATGCAAAGGCCAAGGATCTGTTGCAAACTTCAGTTCTCTGGGCCTTTGGAAGGGGAGGGAAGCAGCCCTCTGACATACCCAAGGCTGCAGCTGTCGGGCAACAAAACACCCCATTACTGCTGTTCTTACCGCCAGGTCTTACCTTTTTCTGGAGGACACAATGGAAAATGAATATAAACATTCCCTGCAGAGAATTGAATATGGTGAAGAGATAGGCCATGATGACTGTGCTTTCATTAATATACATGAGTCCAAAGGCCCAGGTCAGTCCTAGTAGGCAGAGTAGGGCTATTGCACCTATAACCCAGGACCTGTCAGGAGAAACAAAACAGAGGGGGAAAGGTGTTGGTCTTCCGTATACAACAGCACACGAACATCTACAAGCAGCAGCAACCTGCGCTGCTGCTTCACCGGCCAGCAGCCCACACCTCCAAGCGAGCTGTGGGGATTTTTGTGTCGCACTGGGCGCAGCTTGCAAGTCTTTGAGCTTGAGGAAATACACAGACAGGGAAATGCCATGAGCATGGGCGTTATTCTGCTCGTTATTATGACAGGCATTGTAACTCACACGTCCCCGTCCCACACCACACTCCCCTTGCTTGCTTTGACGTAAAAGCAGTGCGGATGTAAATGAGATGGAGATGCTGTTTCTCAAATGGCAGCAGCAAGAAAACAAAGCAACGAAGCTAAATGCCCCTTTGCAAGTGTCCAGTGCTTCYGCTTGGCACAGGTGCCAGCTGGATTAGCACTTATGCCGAGCTCAGTGCCAAGTCTCCTGCTGCAGCTTAGCTAGTCGCACACGTGCCCTTGAGCTAGCTAAGACCTGGCAAGCAATGGGCAAGGCCTGAGTGCTTTGCTAGCAATAAAGCTCCCTGCAGCGCTGCTCTCTGCTTCTTCCACACAACGAGGTGGGGAAATACATTTATATTACGGGCTCACACAACAGACCTGCCCAAACTCTACCTGTGACCATCCTGCTGCCCTGGGAGGTGCCACCTTGCTTTCCTTCTGCCTTCCCCTAGCASAGATCAGCCAAAGAAACGAACACGATGCTGCCAGCACAGCAATTTACTCCTCCTCTTCCTCGCCCCTTCGGCTCTGGGCTTCCTTGCCCACCCCGTGAAGCACCAGGGCTGCTGCTCCCCGTCCCCTGCGCTCAGCCCAAGGTGGCCTCGGCCTCAAAGAGACCTGGCCTTGCCCTGCTGGGGTGGGGCAGTGGAGAGGAGGATGAGGAGGAAGGCTACCAGGGCAAGGCCAGCCTAGCAGGGCAAGCCCAGCCGTGCAGGGCTCAGGTTGGCGCTCTCTGCCACCGAGGCTCTGACTCCTGCTTCCAGCGGGGCTTGTCACCAACACAAGCAAACCACTGTTGTATTCATGTTCTGTGTTGTTGGCTTTTTCTTTTTCCCCTCCTTTAAATATTGGAGAGAAAACGCAGCATTACGCCTTCCACTGAAGCTTAAAATAGGTATTATTTAACCGTGCGACCGAAAGAGCTCCCTAAGGTAACCACTTATTCAGGCACTTCGTTTAAAAAGTCACTCTTATGTGTCTAGCAGACCAGAACAGCTCCTTTGAAGCATTTCCAGTCAATCCTACCAATAAATATTTAGCACTATGCAAAACGAACCTGCGCTCTCCAACCCCTGCTGCAAGGATAAAGCTGACAGCTCGGGCAGCTTCGCATTGCCTTTCTCCCGGAGATCCCACCACCAGCGACCGCGCGCTACGATCTGAAATGCCTGCCAGTTCTGAAAACACGAACCAATGTGTTCTTTTTACTTAAAAAAAAAAAAAAAAAAAGAAATCAAGAACGTGTAAGTGGAGACCCCCTTTCCTTCCCCCGCTTCTCTTTCTTCTCCACGGCTGAAAGGTTCCTTCGCTCAAAGAGTGTTTTGAGACTCGCCCACGGGGCATCGGAAAACTATTTTGGGTTGAACTGCAGCCAAGCCTGCAGAGCCTTTGCCTGGGGAGGTGCACAGGAGTCCAAGGGCTGCTTTAGCAATATGGGAAATGTGCAGCCTCCGCCGGTGCAAAGGGACCTTTAGGGGAGAAGACCCTCGCCGTGCAAAAACAAACGTAGGGCTGCAGAAACCCGACCTGGAGAGAAAGAGCGAGTGGAGCTTCCTTGCAATAGCTCCCTTCCCTAGCCGCAGGAAAGAAATAATTAACAAAAAAAAAAAAAAAAAAAAAAAAAAAAAAAAAAAAAAAAAAAAAAAAAAAAAAGAAGAAGGAAATAAAGAACCAAAGGGTGAAAGAGAGGATGGGGATGAGTCTGGAAGAACGAACACAGAAGGACTCTTCACCAGAAGAACAAACTGAAAGTCTACAGCGAAGCTGACTCGCTCCCGTTTTGTGCTACTGTGCTTTATCTTTTTGGTTGCAGGACAAAAAGCACGGATGCTCTGAAGCATTCATAGGCATTTTTTGGCTATTTTTTTTTTTTCATTTTGGTTTGTGGGTTTTTGCTTGGCTCTTTGTACAGACTTGCTGTTGTTTTTCTCATAGTCTTTCTCTGATGCCATTTGACAGCAACGCCATGGACGAAACCATCATCTGATGGCACAGTGGCAAATCTTGAAAGGAGGGAAAACTGGGGACTCCAATCTGGATCCGTCCTGGGCACCAAAGAGGGCTTTGCTCTGGGTGGTCCCATTAGCTAAAATGAGAACCACCACACGGGTACCTTTCTGGACATTTAGTTCTTTCTTACATTAGCTACCAACCGTGCTCAACAGAGAGCACRGCAGACCAGAGAGTTGCTCTGGGCAAAACAAGTCTGTACCACGCACGATTCCTCAGGTGACGTTCACCTCGAAGCCAAGCGGCGTCCAATCGAGCAATACAGAGCAGATAAAGGGGCAGAATTGGTTGGCAATGCACAGGCAGCACGTTTACGGCGCGCATTAGCGGCATGCCTGGCCACGTTCCTGCACAGTTTGCTCTTCTGCCTCAAATGCGAATGACAGAAGCTTTAATGATTTTTCAATATCGATCTGACAGCCGGTTCATGGGACCACACTGATAAATGCAATTTATCAGCCATTCAGGTCATTCTTACTTGATGAAGGGTCTGTTATCCTCATAGCTAAAGAATGCGTAGACATAAAGACAAGAACACCAACATTAGAAATATAACAACAGAGCGAGCTCCGCTTGCGGCCTGGCCCCCTCCCTGCGCCCTCCCACTGCCACCAGAGCTCAACGCAGACCCACAACCCACACAGGACACCCTGGCTCGCTGCCCCACATGTGGGTGCAGGGCTATAGGTGCTGCCTTCACCCACGAGCAGGACCCATGAGCTGAAATCTTCACTATCCCCCAAGCTCGCGCCGGTGCCGATGGCACAAATTGGCCCTTGGCTTGAAAATCTGCCTTAAAAGCAAACAAAACAGCAGCAACAACAACAACAACAGRAAAAACAGTACTATCTTTGGAGGACTCTCATTTTGAAACTCAATACGACACGAATCTCTCCACTGCTGTTTCCTTTCCCATAATCCCAACTCCTGAGCTTCCTCCTTAGGAGCTGGACTGCAGCGTCACCTTCTTTCACAGATCCAATCTTAAGGATTCCACGAGTCTATAATGGCCCTAGGCCCTTCTAAAGCCTGGAGTGACTGCAGGCAGCAGCCTATCTCTTCCCACTTCCAAGGAAAGCGCCAAGAAAGGGCTTGGCCAAGCAAGAGTGGGCACTAGGGTGCTGTAGGTCCTTGGGWACAAGCTACAACGGCCCCACAAAATTCTGCCAACTTGGGGGGACCCAAGACCATCCGCAGCCCTGTTCCTCCCTGGGGAATCACCCAGACTTTTGGGAATGGATTCTCTTCCCAGTCCTGCCCGAATGATCTGCCATGCACAGGGAGAAGGGGCGACCTCCAGCTTCCATCTCCTCTCCCCACATCACTCTTCCAACCCTATGAAAGGGAGGCCGGGTCGATCTGCTCATCTCATTGCCCCCCAGCAACACAACCTGGGGTGCTCCTGCCTGCTGGGACCTCCTCCCATCAACACTGGCCAACTGGCAAGCTCTCCATGCTGAGGGCCGGAGCTGGATGGGGCCGGCAGTGAAGCCAGGGCCCACCAACCACATCACTGGATCGCCGGTCAAGAGCCATCGTTGTGGACCCACCAACGCAACCTGACGCTCGAAGAGCATCAAAGAGCATCGTGCAGGGCAAGCACAAGGAGCATCCAGCTTGGGAGCCCTCTGGCAGCGAGCAAGGATGGATGCCACGATCCCAGCTCCTGGGGAAAGCTGTAACCCCAGGGCATGCAAGCCCACCCCAGAGCGATTAGAAAACAAACACAAGGCGGTCGCAGCTGCAACCTGCAGCACTTCTGCACAGCAACGTGGACATTGGCAGGGCATGAAACCAATTACCGTGCTCACAGGCACTCAGGTTTTATGGCAAATGTTTTACTACTGAAATGTCAGTTGTTATTCCTTATGAAAACAGAGAATTATGGATTTTTTTTTTTTTAACTTCGTTTCTGCCACCCAGACCTTTTCAGAGCTTTTTGGTGATCTGCAATAGCCTTTTTTCAAGGCCAATGAAGGGTCTGTTTTGTCTCCATGCAGGCAAAATGTGAAATCAGTAAACTTGGACTGTCTTCTAGCTTAAGRGTATCATTTTACAGCAGTCCAGGAAAGTGTTATCGAAAATACCAAAGGAGATTTTGTCCCATTTCCAACCCATTTGGCCCCAGATGCACATAGGTCCCACCACCTCAAGAAACTGGGTGCCTAAAAAGGGGAAATTTTCAAAGACATTTACACCTCAAATTCCTAAATCCTTCAGAACGCTATACATTTGGCCAACAAAACCAAGCCTTCTATATCATGCATGAAATATGGATCCTTGCTTTTCATTTTACCAACTCGAGTGTTGCAAGAGGCTTAACTCTTGTGCTAGCAACAACTCTGATCTGAGAAAAACTACTCCAGAACATTATTTTACATTTTTTTTTTTCCCCGAGAAAGCGTGGGAAAACCATCAGCGCAGCATTAATACCACGTTGCTGTCTGCAACACATAAAGTCATCACCTCGAGGGGAGAAAAGCCTTGGGACGGTATATACAACCAGCCTCAGCTCACAGGAAAACGTAGCCGCTGAGCGTGGAAGTGAGATTATATTTCCCAGCAAATGGACACAATGCTGAGATGAGCATAAATTCTTGGAAAACCACACAGATTGCACCTTGAGAGGCCGGGTTTAAAATGATACAGTATTAATTTCTCCCTAATCCCCAGCGGTAAGGGTGGAATTCAGGGCTGGTTTAACTCTGATCCCTCTGTAGTCAACAGGAGA